TTGAGGCTTGTGACTTGAACTAGGGGCTTGTGAGCACGAGCGGGTTTGCTACCGGGGTACAGCCCTAGTAGACAGTTAGATGTTCAACAATCTTCTTCAGTAAAATAATCTAGATCTATGTTGGAGAGGTAAAGGTCTGAACAGGAATCCTGTAAACATTATGGACCCAACTGGAAGACTGCGTATGATTCTGCTTAACTTTGACCAAATCAGCAACAAGAGGATAAAAAGAAAGATTTTTAATAAGCCCTACCGCGAAGAAGACAGGCATTAATGTCTAGCCCAGACTCCCTTCTCAAAAGAAAAGGAAGTCGTGTTTCCCAGATGACGTCACAGATACCGCCATGATGGCCCCACAGAGAGTGGAGGCCCCGGGTGTGCATGGTTGGTCAAGTCAGTTCCGAATGGAGAAAAAGGATTTTACTATAGTGCGTTAAAAAAATTCGGGGCGCAACTTATTGTCAAATATTTCCTCACTATCAAACATAGACTCTCCAGCTTTGCGTCTTAACAGATCAATATTTTTGTAAACGCCTGTTAGCTGTATTCTGCAAATTCCTTAGTAAAAGCTGATAAAAAATCTAAGTTGATGCTTTCTGCAGATTTTAAAAAAGATTTACAACTGGGGCAATATCGCTGTTAAGAGCACGTCCGTCACTTATTTTCTAATCGCGACATTGTGATTATTGAACGTAAGTTTAAAACTTTTAATGCAAGAAAGTGTTTATCATAAAATTAATTTCTTGCAACAAGTTTTGCCACTAAAAAGTGTCATTGGTGACACATGCACATGATGACATTCAAAATAATATAGACAAACACATGCACACATACATACACACGCACACACACACACACGCGCGTGCACAAACACACACACACACACACACAAACAAACACACACACACACACACACACACACACACACATCCCACAATACTCACAATAAGTAACTAGGGTCCAGCTGGCTATCAGGAATCCTGTCCGAACTGCAGCCTGTGAGCAAGACACAGACAAAAACCTTCTGTCAGCGTTCCACGTGAGTGTAGTCTGTGTATAGTCTGTCGTCACGGAGAAATAGGAGGAAAACCCCGAGGACACAGTACATATCGTGTAAGATCCTTGACTTGTTACACATCTTGCTGCTGTTCTTTTAACTGCCGCCAGCTGCACTTCCCACACCAAGTCAGCACTACCTTCATCAGTGTTGTATGCACATGTACGAGAGATGCTCGTCCCCTCCTCTGTAGGGCCCAAATCCTGACCTAATGGTGGAAACAAACTCTTTCTTATAATATGTGTCGGTATGTCATAGTGGGTGTGTGTGTGTGAGAGAGAGAGAGAGAGAGAGAGAGAGGGGGGGGAGAGAAAGAGA